CTTATCGAACTTTTTTTTTCAACTTGGGTCAGATCCATTTTCAGGTGACCTTGCTGATTACCAGGACAATAAGGATCAGTCATGCATGAGTTATTTCTGAACACAACATGTCAATTATAGCCCTGATCCAATTGAGTCTTGACATTTTTATTTTTACCTGCATTTCACATGAAAACCCAGCAGAACAGAATTATTATATTTTTAATATCAATCAATCTTTGTTCAAAACCTACTGCGTGTCCTCAAGTGATACAGAAACTGGGGAAAATATTCTTCAATCTTTGACTACTCAATATAAAAAAAATTTGACACCTCACGTCGGATAAGAACACCAAGCTATGCTTCTTAAATCGAATTTCAGGCGGAAGTAAAGTTATTTCTGAACTTCTCATTAAATATACTGTACTAGACTACCTGGTAATTTATTTATTTATTTTAATTTTTTTGGCATTGGAGATTCGTAAAATTGGGTTCATAAACTTCGTGGAGACACTCGTTTCGGGTCTTCTGTGTAAGTATACAGTATATTTGAGAACCCCCCAAGGTCTCGCACAGACAGAATAACCGAACCCACGCACCGACGTGGCACAAAAAACCCGACACTGACGTTGCGGACTACGAGACCTCGTCTCTCCGGGTTCTGGGTTCTGGGTTCCCGGCTCGTTTCAATGCACGCAGGCACTCTTTACAATTCGTCCAGCAGACATTCCAGCATGACGAAAAAGTGAGGTCACCGCATCTCAGCGTCGGGAGCAGGGAACTGGAATTCCAGGTCAAACGTTTTTTTTTTCTAAATTTAAGGAAAATATAATTTATTAATTGGAGCCAGTAGCAAACAATATTCGAATTATCACAGCAGCCTCATCAAGAACTAATCCTTATTTATTTATTTAATCATTTACATCACAGCAGTGTTCTCAACGTGTGGCCCACAGACAAATGTTTTTTTTTTTGCTGATTCGTGGGAAATTTTCTTCAGCATAAGACATTTATCAAAACTAACAATTAATTTTGTTATCTTAATATGACATTTTGGAAAGACATTGGCAGTCAAAACTATCTGATGAAAAATTAAAAGTTGGATTTTCTTCTATACTAACACTTCAGACAAATTTTCACCTGCCAAAATTAATTATTTTAATTTTTCATTCCGAGAAACCTTCCTTCAAGCCCATCTTTCTAATATATTCAAGACATGCCACTATGTAGCTATGCTTCATTATTTCTTAACTTAATTTTTAAAAAAAGCAGAAACTTTTAAAATGTGTATCTGCCATAAAATCTTTCAAATAAAACATGTTTGAGCCTGAAAAAATGTAAGAAACTTTGCCAATCCACAGCAAATTTTTTGTAGGAATATTACCATTAATTTGCCGGTCCAAAAAGGTTGGGGAACAGTGCATGACAGGACAGTTATGAGTCTGGAAATATCAATTTATCCTATTGAAAAGGAAAGGAGCTTTTAATTATTTGGTCTGGACAAAGGAACGCTTACAAAACCGGTTATTGAAATATTATTGGCACATAAATAAATTATTTCCAGTCTTTTGTTAACCGTGTCAAAAGAGCATGCAAAATATATAAAACGGTCAGGAAAACAAACTGATTATAATGCGTAATTTTGCATACGCTTGCGTCAAATTGTACCACCTGTTGGCGCAAATTTCAGACCTTTCTTTCTCTTTTTCCTGATGAGTGTCATGTGAAAAGATAAATTTTTGCAGAACTTCACATGTTCAAAAAAATTTCCTAACCTCAAGCATTTTTGAATTTCAGAAAAAAAAGAGACTAAAACATCCTGATTAATTAAATTAGTATCAATTCCATACTAATATTTTGGTGAAGTTCATACGCTTGTGAATTATATTAAGAATGCTTTGTGAGCACCTGCTGAATGCAGGGAATAATTCCATATTCAATTAGAACTTGAATAAATCATGCTTTGAATAACATAACTTCCGGATAATAAAACTATTTTTGGGATGGATCAAATTAGCTTTCTGGTGAAGGATGATCTCTTGTGTTTTCAAATTTTAATGCAGTTGTGCCTTGCAATAAAGTCAAAATACAGTAAAATCTCGTTTAGAAGTATGCTTAACACGACATTGAATTTCCTGTACCTCTGTCCNAAGTCCACCTGTATGAGGAATCATTCTGATCTGGAAATGGTAAAGCAATTACCTTTTCTGATCCAGACTTCCGAAATGAAATTGGCAAGTTTTCATCATTTCACAAGACTTTTCAAGTTCAACAATACCTCTTCTGTTCATCTTTCAAAATATTGTTATTCTAACTTTTCTAAGTTGTCAGAAGTTCTATAAAAGCAAATACAAATGCGTTGAATATCTTCTATATATGCAGAGATAATTTACCCCATTCTGAAATTATCCATCAGGACAAATGTATGTCAAGAAGTGATTAATTCTTATGGCCTGGGTGAAAGAGTATTATGTTTCTTGTACAACCATCTGCAACCAAGAACATACTAGCAATGAATGCATAAGAAGTCTTTGGACACTCTTTTATAGATTCCAAGTATCAGACAGGACAAGGTGCAAGACCAGGCATAAGCATTAATGAAACCAGGGTGGCCAAAAGGTAGGTGACCAATGACCAGACACCATTGAGCAACTTATTGGTTGCTATCCATACATTGTTGGAGAAATATTGGAATGCATGCATAGTATTATTAATGTATGGCAGGACATAAAAAATCAAGTGATGACAATGTACAACAGTTGCAGCAGAGAATAAAATTTTAAATATCAGACAGAACTACACTTGAAGTGAAACATGCTGCTTAATATAATGCTCAAAAGTCAAAACCATACTTGAATCAATATTCAGTACTGCATTGTATATCAGAGCAACGGTCTTGAATCTGAAATCTCAAATTACCCAGAAAAATATCAGCTTTCAAATTTTATAGCAGTGAAACATTGTAATCTGATAGCCCATGAATTTCAAGGATTGAGGCATGTTCATCGACTGGCGATGGAAATATAGGAATGTTATTTTTGTTATTTGTCTATGCAGTGCTTTAAAAATCATAATTGAATTTTTCCATTAAGCATCAAGTAAATAAAACCATGCAGTCTAAGAATCTCAATATCGGAACTTCATGTTTTTCTTCTTTTAAAATAATATAGAATTATTTTTCCATTTCCTGGACGCGAAACTTTATTCACGTGAATGGAAAAAAATGAACCAATACCAACATTCCTTTTTTAATCAAACTGTGAAAAAATAACCGATTGTACAAAGCAACGGGACACACGCTTTAAAACTTCAATCTGCATGATATTCAAAATGAAATTTTATTCAAGGCTTGCAATGTACAGTTGTCCGCCTGTTTCAAAATAAGAAACTTGATCGTTTCAAAAATACCGTGCGTGATCTTTCCGGGATGTTTTCCACGAATTCTTCAAGATTTTTGAAGATGTAGGAAAGATCAGAAAAGATGGAATAAAAGGCGCAAACAGAACACGGTGTAAGAATACATAAGAGCAAGAGTGTATACGAACTAGGTCACATCAGAGCTTTGAAAAAGTCGGCCAATATATACTCATGGCTAACCCTGCCCTGAATAAAACAAACCCCCCTTGACATTATTCTCTCATTTCTTTTCAAGCTTTCTCGCGTCTTTTAGTGATATGTATGGTGCTTACCCATTTGACAAACAGTTTTGGATATACTGTACATATACATTGATAGGAAAATTGATTGATAAAATATGCTGTATTTGCCACTTGTCAGTGTTCACAAGGATCAAAACATTTTGCCACATGTCCCCTCCCACAAACACACATCCCTTGAAAAATAAGAATAGAAAGTATAAAAAAAAGAACAAAATGTACATCACAGTATTGTATATCAACAAATGCATGAATTTTTTGATTAGGTCCTTCTTTGCCAAATACGCACCACACTCAAAAATTTTAGATCTGGAAATTAATCAAGGTTGTATAAAGAGAATACAATGGGGTCCTGAGATGTGGACAAAATTGGACCTTGTCCCTATGTCAGAATGTCTGCATGTTGGATCACATTTTCCCATAAACTTCAATGGGAGCATGTTCAACTGGTTACCCTGTTTGTCAAAAATTTGCAAGAAGTCCTGCCCTCCAAAAAAACTGTACCTTAACTTCAGAAAATAACTGTGCAGCAGGAAACCATACCCAATATTTACCATATTGATGCCAAAAGGGAGCCCAAAATGCAAGGAAAATTATTGCATGTCTTAAATTAATGTGCACAGGTCATGAAAATACTGTACCCCTAAAATAGAAGAAACACAAAATTAACCTTTTTTTATACTAATATAATAAATGAATTTAATGTTTAAGATTTATTATTTCAATTGTAGTGAATATACATATAGCTGAATTTGTTCAAGAGGATACAATTTATTGAAGAAATAAACATATATAACTCTTTTTGAAGTTTTTGCAGCATCTGTATTTCTAGACATTGTCAAGATTTGAGGTCAAACTCTTGAAGTTTCAAGTGTTCCTAAATTTAATTGTGCATGCGATGGGGGTGTCCATTTCTCGGAGTCCCACTTTATGCTCTCTGAAAGTTCACCCCAATTTCAATGCTGTGCACCCCATTAATTTCCGAAGTGTAAAATTTCAAAATTTAACAAGTTTTAGAGGGAATTAGGAGTTGCATTAGTACATTTTTGCCATGGAAATTGTCAATGCCAAAAAAATTTGCAGTAAGAGCCTCTTTCCGCATCCTTGAGAACTTTTGGATGCAGTTCTTTTGTGGAGGGAGTAATTCATTGAGCAGAGACCCACGTTATTCCTGACGATCATTTTCATCCAAAGAAGGAAAAAGGTTTGGAAACCATTTCAAGAAATTTATATTTTTGTAAAACCCTGAAGTTTCTGAGTAGCATATGTTTCTCATCGCTGTTTTTGCTGGGTGTTGGATTCTGATGTAGTTACATGCTTAAAATCACAATGAAAGTTTTGAGCAATGAGAAACAATAAACACCATTTGCAGAAGATGAGAAGAGGTTTTATTCTGATGTTGGAGTAATTATGGATACACAGAATTCCAATTTCCTTATTGCCAGTGTATAAATAAGACATGACCTGAATATATGCAGGGTATAAAAAAGGTAAAACAGCTTGTAGAAAGACACACACACACACACACACTCATCATTATCAGACACTTTGTTTTCAACAGCAGGTTGTTCCAATTATGCTGTTGGAGGGAGACCCATGCACAGAAGGGTAAGCTTCAGCTTCATCATCATCATCAGCAGAGCTTGTTATTGCTGAATGGGACCAAACCCTGGTTATTCTGAAGTTGCACATCCAGGCCAGCCTTGAGGGTGCCAATTCGGCCATTAATGGCTGCCACTTCGCGCTGAGCTGCCTTTGCGGCTTCCAGCAACTTTTGCAGTCTGTCTGAGTGGAGCTTGTTTGTGCGGCTGTGGTTGGTGTTGTCATCCCTGAAGTTCTTCAAGAGGTGGGACTTTTCCCTCAACTTCAACTCCAAGTCCCCACACTCAGTCTCCCTCTCTGGGATCATAATTTAGGATGGAATGAAAATCTGAAATGCAGCTTGGACATGAACATTGAATACAGTGGGCCCCCAACTTACAACGGGCCCATGTTACATTGATTTCAACATACGACGCTTTTACCCCCAACTTACGTCAGGGTTTCATGTTTCAACATAACTATAATAAAAATTGTATTACAAAAAACTCCCAGAGACCTGAAATAATTTTATAACAATGAGATCCATGGTATTTTGGGCATGTGGGACTAAAATTTTGTGGGAAACGGATAGCAGATGCAAGTACAATACTTCCACAACAGATGCATGAAGAAATGCCCAAATTTTCAATTTGTTTTGATGAAATGATAAAGAAAGTTTAAAAAGTGAAATGCTATTCTACTCTTATTTCAAAGATTTGATTTTTAACATCTTTTAAAAATATACTTATTTCACTGAGGTATAAACCAAAAATTTCTGACAAAAAGTTGAAATATGAAGGTAAATTTAGTTTAATATTCTTTTTATGGAACAAATTAATTTTTTTATAATGTAACCTTAAGGGAAATAGGGTTTCAACTTATGACAGCCCCATGTTACAATGTTCATCCTGGAACGGATTGATGACGTAAGATGGGGGCCCACTGTAATACAGGTGCACTCTCCTGACCACAACCTTGTCTACCATCAAAGATGTGCCAGCAATCAAAGAATGCATACATTTGTGTGTAATGTGATGCATATTTGGGGTTTCATTCATTTTTGAATGTATGTGTATGTGGGGGATAGGGCAAAGGCTTTTATCCTCCATAATGCTGGCAATGAGCCACAAAGAAAGCCTGTTCATCAATCAATCAACCACAATTTTCTCTGCACAAAGTTTTTCCCTGAGGTCCCACAGAGTTCTTTCCCCTTTTTATGGGACAGTGTTACCCAACTTTTTTGAGCCTGTGTGGAACTGAAAACTTCCATAAAATTTTTTGCAGGCCAGCAAATGCCAGAAAATTTCTGCCTACTGGCAAAGTTTCATAAAATGTTTGCAGACTCAGAAAAGTTCTGTTCAAAAGGCCTCATTGCATGCATTAAAGATGTTCACTTGAAAAAATCAAGTTAGGAACCAATGACATAGCTATGGGTAAATGTCTTAGAAAAATTGGAAAGGTGGGCTTGAAGAAAGGTTTCTCAGAATGCAAAAATTGCTTATTGGTTTATTTCAGTAGGTGAAAATATTTCTGAAGTGTTCTTAGGAGGAAATCCAACTTTTATTCTGTATCAGACAAATTCAATTGTCATTGTCTTTTTAAAATTGCAATCACACTTCATTGAAACTCTTGATAAATTTATTATGTTGCAGAAAATTTCCTTGCTGACCAGCAAAATACTTCTGTGGACCTTGGCTGGTCCATACACCATGGATTAGGAAACACTATTCATGGGATTCTCTGCAACAAAATTCTGGTTAGATTGAATTTTTCTGGTCTTGTGAATTTTTTGTAAAGAGCCTGTATGCTGTACACTGGCTTGGAAATGAGAATTCTAAGATCCAGTGGGCTCTTGGAAAAAAGTATATCTCCCTGTATTATGTATTTCAGATGGAATGTTTGTAAGCAGGACTGGAATTATGTCAATCCCTGCTGCCTTCGGGACACCCAGTATATTCCCTTAAAATGTTTTTAAGATGGTGCAGAAACTTTAGAAATGCCAATTGTTTTCAAGTGGGATATTTTTCAGCCAAGATCCTATGTCATTTTTACCACAATTTTCTTTTCTGTATCTTCCCTTTTAGAAGATCTTGGGAGCAGCAATTTTTTTGCTGGTGAGTACTGTACATATTAGCAAAGACCCAACTGTACACAGTGGGCCACTTGTTCAGCTAACCAAATCCATTCCAGGAGGACATTAGTTGACTGAGTACCTGGCTTTCTCATAAGTTAATTGAGAGACAAAATTATCCGTTTTGGCCAACCAAGCCTCACATCTATTACCAATTAATTTATGTACCTTCTCCATATCTTCTCATCCCAATTTTTGTTATGTTATCCTAGTTCCAATTTCAGTAGTGGAAAATATGTAGTTTCAGTTGTGGCAAATACCCACTATGGCATATATGTGGTTTCACCCACTGAAATAAATTTCAATTTTTCATTCTGAGAAACCTTTCTTCAAGCCTATCTTTATAATTTTTTGAAAAAATTCACCTATACTTATGTCATTGGTTCTTGGCTTGATTTTTTTAAAGTAAACTTTTTAGTTTTATAAAATTTTAGGCCCAAATTCTGCACATTACTTTTGTCAAGTTTGTTGACCAGGTGCTGACAATTGTTACACAAAGAGTATTATTAACTTGGTCCTTTGGTGGGCAAAAGGTCAGTTCATATGTGAGACAAAGTATCAGTAAGGCCATCTTCAAAAGGTGAAAATCATATAACAGTAAAGATTCTACTAGAAAGTTGCTGTCTGTAAATAAATATGTATCCACTGTTGGTTGCATTTTATATTACAGTTCATTGAACTAAAACTCATACAGAAACAGGCTGAAGACCTTGTGCTTTAAATAAACTTTTACTGCTGCTTTGTCTTCAATATTGGGGATGGGTGGGTGTATGCAACATATGCATAGGATGTCCAGTTTTTATTTTGTAGTGTGTGTTCTCTTTTGTTTTTGTCATTGGTTTATGCTTTGTTTCATGCTTTGAAGTGATTGAATGTATTTTGGGGGAGTTGGGTTGGGTGGGGAGGGGGTTTGGATGCAGGAGTTTTGGTTGTACCTTGTGAACGCTGAAAAGTGGCAAATAAAGTTTTCTGTTCATTCATTCATTCATTCATATTACAGTATATATTGATAAACTGGCCATCAGATATTCAATGAACCATCCCTTGCCATGTTCCTCAGAGACTGACAACAAAATGGTAAAAAAAATATTTAAAATAAGAGTGCAGTAACATCACAAATTTCTGTTTGAAATTTGAAAGCTCACTCACCAGCAAGACGTTCTCTAGCTCTCAAGATGGCACCATTCATGGCTTTGACAGCAGCATTCTGAAAATTGACAAGAAAAGATGAATGCACACTTGAAGACATTAGTGAAACTGTGTCTTTAGATCATGTATCTCACCTTCTCATCTACTTTTTGCAGTAGTTTCCGGAGAACGTCTTCCTTCTCCTTGATCGATCTTACAATGTTATCCTGAAAAAAAGCCACGCTTATTTATTGTAGGTCATTAAAATCAATGACATTCTGCATACTGAAATAATCAGTAACATTTGTTTCTTTCAATCATGCCAAATGTCTGATTCTTGAAGTTTTGTATATTAAAACTTCAGAAAATTTCCCTGATGTTTACAAATAGAAACATGTCCAAACCTTCAAGAAAATGGAAAGCTTTTATTGTTCATCTCTTGAACAAATACTGTGCAGCCATTATTCATTATCATAAAATTGCAAGATTGAGCTTTATATAAATTCACTTCAGTTCATTATCCAAAACAGGCTCATTATGTGTTTTTCTTTTCTGGGTATTTTAATTATGTGAGCTTAAGTATGGAAAGACTTGTGTTTTTTTGGGCTCCTTTCCATGTCAAAAATCAGAATGTGTGGCTTTCTTCATCAGTAGTGTTATTTTCTGTACAGTATTTTGAAGTTCAGGAAAATTATTTTTTCACTTTTGGAGGCTTGTTTATATTTTTTTTATGAATAAGAGAAGAAGCAGTCAATTTTTGTTGAGAGTCGAAAGCAATCGAAAGTAAAACTTGAAAAAAAATCATTGTAAAAATTAAAACTGGCAATATTTTTAGTGAGCATTGTGCGCTGATAGACGCCATATTTGAAATTTCAAAATGCATCTCCAATAAAGGAGGGTGTAATATTTGTGAAAAATGATGTAAATAGAGTTTCAATGATTAAATATTGTTACTTTGGCAGTGGTGAGGTCGATGACTTTGCGCTTGAGGCCGCTGAGCGGATCAACGGGCGCCACGTTGCCGGCGGGTACGTTGAGCGGGCCAAAGCGGCGCCTGGGACTGGGACACACCATCAAGTTCTTATTGAGGAGTGGGCCATCGTTCACCTTGCCGATATTGTTCATGGCGGGCTCCATTATGGCGTCGTTGAGCAAATGGCTGCCCTTTGCAGCTTTGTTGCTGGAGCGTCTGTTGCCATCATTTGGCCTGCTTTCAAACAGCTGGGAATCACTGACTCGAGATGAAAAAAAAATTTTTTCAGGAAAAATACTCCTCGAAAATGCAGTTCCAATACATTCATGTGACACAAAAAGAAACCTTCCTTCCAGGTGCTTCTCAAAACATAACTTTTTTTCTTGCTGTTCTCTTTCCTAATATGTCAAGAAAACAATAGCCAAGAGGCCTTAGAAAATTCAATTTACTCAAGTTCAAGAGGAAAAGCCTTTGAGTAAGACACGTATTTAACGCAAATACAGTCAAATCTTTATAAGACGTCACCCATTTGTCCAGAGCAATTTTGGCAGATTATCAAATATTTCATTTTAAATTATTTGATCAAAAATACTTGATTTTACTCCAAAAGTCATAGAAATACAGGTTTTCTAGAAACTTCAGTAAATTTCCAAAGAGTATTGCTGTGATCAATGGGTTACTCTTTTGGAAAATTCATTTTGCTGCATCAATTTATTCAAATTTTAAAATTAGGTAAATATATTGTTCAAATTAAAAAAAGATCATTATTTTTTCTTTTTACAAATGCAAGAACCTTGACAGAAATAAAAATTCCAAAACAATGTTAGCGTTGTAACAGAGACAAAACCAACAGGAAACAGCCCTTTTGTTTCATCACTGATACTGGCAGATGGTGGTAGGTGTCTTATCAAGGTTTTCTATAGAATTCAACATTGAGGAGATTTGATACATTAAAAATTTTGTCAGTTGCCAAGGGTGGCGCTTTATTGGGGGCATCTTAACCCTTGGACAGCGGAGGGTTCCTTCCCATTGCTGGCCAAAATTGGATTATTATTGTATCCTGGGGGTGTTTTCAGTTTTCTGAAGGTCAGAACAGCCCTTCCAGGTGGGCTGAGGCAAAGTCAGAATTAATCCAAGAAAATCCTGTTGCTTAACATAGCATTTTTTATATTTTCCTGCAAAATATTTCTGTGGAAAAAGAAGAAAACATTGGGATTTTTCCAGACTTTGTCCTCCTTGCTTGCTGTTGTCAATTTTTTCTTCTCTTCCCTGAGGTGAAACAAAATTTTGCGAAAATAGTCCAACTTTGCCGCCCAAGGGTTAACAGGGCTTGACTGTAGTTGCCAAAGGAATTCAGGCAGGGACTTGAAAAGAAACTTCACTTATTGGGGAGGTTGCTGGAGTTATCCAGGTTCACCTTCATTTAATGAGTGTTGGAAAGCTAACTGAGGCAAGCAGTTGATTTCTAATCTCATCTTTAATCCACCAGCCCAACAAAACAAGGAAGTACA